GGAATGGTACAATGTCTCGAGGCAGACTTTAAGGTAACATTACAGCAACAAAATTCACTGGAGGATTGGGCAATCTGGCTGAAAGGAGTTGTTACTAAAGTGCTTAAACCATTTGAAGAGAAACCAACGTCCGCTAAAGCTGCATGTCAATTTTTGCTCAAATAGTCGTTTTATAGGTATTTCTTATTTTTTATTACATTGGTAATCAAATATATTTGTTTTGCATTTTTAATAACATTTACATTTTGTGTTTCATAGCTCGATGATTATCTGGGATTTCACTTTGAGAAGCGCGGCGAGTTTCGGATCTTTTCATCTTATCAGTAATTTATTAATATAGATTTAACAATTTTATAAACAATATAAATGAATCTCGGCCTATTAGTACCAGGATACATGATCGCAGGTAAGTTTATATTTATATTCACACATAATCCTTCTTATTACAGATGTTTTACTACATATTATTAATTTTCAGGTGTTCTAGAAGCCAATCTGTTACCAAGAACAATGAAGCGGAAAAAGATTGATGTGTATAGATATATAGGTTTTGGACAAAGTAATGAATGTGGCATTGTGCATAATGCCCGAGATCATTCGGGCAGAGTGATAAATATTTGTTATAATATAAATATAAATAAATAAATATATATAAATCGCTTTAACCAGGCAATATAAATATAAATAAATATTAGTAAATATATATTGTATATTATATATATTTATTTATTTATATTTATATTGCCTGGTTAAAGCGATTTCTAAATTAAAAATTAACAAATATTAATTGACAATTATTATATATATATATTTATTTATTTATTTATCACTCTGCCAGATGAACACCAACCATCATGACTGGTCTCGGACATTATGCATAATGCCTCATTTATCACTTTGTCCATACATATACATTATAAATGTAATATATATTATAAAAATGTAATATGTAAATATATATTAACTTTTGAATAAAAAATGATATTAACATATTCTTAAAAAATAAAAAAATTTGGTTTCTTTATTTTCGATGTCTTGGACGCCCACAATCAGGTTAAAAATGTTGGGTGTCATATATTTTTATTTTGGGTATTAAATATATTTTTTTTATATAATAAATTGTATTTACAGTGAGTTACATTTATTAAACATTAATAAACATTAAACATTTTATTAAGCATTTTAATATACAAATCATGCAACACACAAATACGGCAGACAGAGGCAGAGTCAAATAGGATTACACTAAACAGGACATAAAAAATCAGAAATTGCAAGAATTGTGGGATTCAGCTATCAAAGGCCGGTATTCATAGTCCGTTCTTATATTTAAGATTGTCTTAAGCACGGACTTATATTCGCTCTCTTCGTCACACATAGATTGTGTCTGACGAAGAGAGCGAATATAAGTTCGTGCTTAAGACGATCTTGAATATAAGAACGGACTATGAATATCGCCCAAACTGTTGCTTTATGGGTTATAAAACATGAAGGAGGAATGGAGAATCTTGAAGATCATAGAAAAAATAATTGTGCTCCGCAGAAGACTACACCGGAGCAGAATGAGGAAATAGTAAGAGCTGTAGACGAAAATCCTTTCGATCCAGTCGCAAACGTATTAAGGAACAGGGAATTAAATATTTCTACAGAAACCGTAAGACGCCGTCTACGTGCTGCAGGTGTACACTCACATCCTGCAACAAAGAAAATAGAGCTCAAGCCGCAACATAGGATGAAAAGAGTACAATTCGCAAGAGAATATTTAAATACACCTCAAGAGGAATGGAATGCCGTCATTTGAATGGACGAAAAAGTATTTTCATCTTTAGAAGATAGGCGACGTAGAGTCTGGCGACCAAATGGATCGCTTTTAAATCCCAAATATGTTATCCCATCAGGAAAAAGCGGCAGAATCACATTAGGATTCTGGGGAAGTATGACTTCAAGTGGATCGTTAAATCTACAAGAGATATCTTCACGAATGAATGTCGAAGAATACGTGGAAATTCTTCAAAAAGTATTAAAACCTGGCATTAGAATAATTTTTCCGGAAGAACAATATCCAGTTATAAAAGTAGTGCAAAATAATAGTGCCGTCCATACATCAAGATTGGTGCAAGCGATATGGTTCGACGAAAATCCAGACATTCAAAAAATTCGATGGCCAACAAAGTCTCCTGATCTAAATCCAATAGAAAATGTGTGGGGTCAAATGGTATCATCATGGAGAGCTGGCGAACTCCGAACAAAAGAAGCCTTACGGAACAATGTGCATCAAGTTTGGCAGCAATTATCGCAGCGACAAGATTACACGCAAAACTTAGGCCGGCGTCACATAGAACCCGTAATCCGTAATCCGCACCGGAAGTCCGCAAAAGTTACTAGGGATTGCGTCCGTAACGTTACGTGTGTTTTTTCTTCTTGTGTCCCATGGAGCCGTAAATACACACGTAACGGTATTACTATTTTTTATTTAACAGATTATAATTGTTTATTTGTATTTTATTCATAAGAAAACTACAGAATATATTATAATTTTAACAAAAATTTTAATTAAATCGTCAAATTTAGTTAAATAAATAAAATTAAAAAAGCATTACTAGTAATAACTAGTAACTTTTAGTAACTTTTACGGAAATTTCATGGAATTACGGCTCCATGGGACACAAGGAGATAAAACACACGTAACGT